CATTTATTGCTGCTGGGAATGCAAATGGTATTGCCATTTTGGAAGACAGTTTGGCATTACTTACAAAACTTAACATACTCCAATCATACGATCCAGTAGTATCCAGTAGTCACACTCCTTGGTATTTACCCAAATGAGGTGAAAACTTATGTCCATACAAAAACCCCCATATGGATATTCATAGCAGATCTGCTCGTAATTGTTAAAACTTGGAAGCAACAAAGATGTCCTTCACAAGGTGAGTGGATAAGTAAATCCAGACAATGGAATATTATTTGACACTAAAAAAAAATATGAATGTCAGGCCATAAAAAGACATGGAGGAAGGTTTTAAATACATATTAGTAAGTGAAAGAAACCAATCTAAAAAGATTAAATACTGTATGGTTCCAACTATGTAACATTTTAGAAAAGGCAAAATTATGAAGATGGTAAAAAGACCACTGGTTGCCAGTGGCTAGCAAGGAGACAGGGATGGAATATGTGGAGCACAGAGGATTTTTAAGGCAGTGAAACTATTCTGTATGCTACTACAATGGTGAATACATTTCATCATTTGCTGAAACCCATAGATGTACAACATCAAGATGATAACGATGTGTCATTGTAAGTTCATCAGTTGTAACAAATGCTCTGCTAGTGTGCAAAGGTTTATAGTAAAAGAGACTGTGAGTGTGAGGGGCATATGTAGGGGCTCCATAGGAACTCTGTACTCTCCACTCATTTGTGCTGTCAACATAAAACTACTCTGAAATAATAAAGCCCATTTTTAAAGTAAATTAACAAAATAGGTGGATCATAAGGTCGGGTGTTCAAGGCCAGCCTGACCAACATGGTGAAACCCCGTCTCTACTAAAAATATAAAAATTAGCCGGGTGTGGTGGTGCATGCCTATAATCCCAGCTACTCAGGGGTTGATAAAAACTGTGTTTTCTTTAAAAAGTGACTCCTATTACAAAAAATTAAATTTCATAAAATTCTGTCAACCACTCTAGTGATTCTCAAAGAAATAGAGATTTACAAAGAGGTCCCTTGCAGCATGACTTATAAGAACAAATAACTGGAAAAAATATGCATGGCCAAAAATTGGGGAACATTTAATACATTAACACATATATAACATGCAATATTCTGAAGAATATTTAATGATCTGAGAAAGTCCTCAAGGTATAACCTTAAAGGAAAATACAATATTTAAAACCCATACAGCAAGGCATTGTTAAAAGTCCTTATCTTGGCAAAAGGTTTGGGGGGTGAATAATGGAGGAAAGAGGCTTTTTATTTTATAATATTATAAAATATTGTTTGCTTTTTTACTTTGTGCAGGGATTATATTTATGACTAAAAATTGTATACTTAAAAATAACTCAAAATTTAAAAATCCTATAAAAACACAAAAACATTTATAAAGCTTACATGGTTTTTATTAATACCTGAAAAAAATAGAGGTTATAAGTAAATACATACTCAACTACAGTGGAGGAAAAGAAACACTTGTATGTACAGAGTGATTCTAATGATACTATATATATATATATATATATAATATATTTTATTGCACTTTAGGCTCTGGGGTACATGTGAAGAACATGCAGGATTGTTGCATAGGTGCATACATGGCAATGTGGTTTGCTGCCTCCATCCCCATCACCTATATCTGGCATTTCTCCCCATGTTATCCCTCCCCAACTCCCTACCCCCCTGCAGTCCCTCCCCTAGTTCCCCCCAACAGACCCCAGTGTGTGATGCTCCCTGCAAAATATATATATTACATATATTCAGATAGCAAAAAGTGTATGAAGCAATTATATATTATAAATAGTTGGTTTTCCTCATGGTTGTAGAATTAGAGGTGAATTTTCCTTATGCTTTTTGTATTTTCTACATTTTTTGCAAAGAGCATGTGTTCTATTATGAGTCAAAAGCTTTAAAGTATAAAAATTCTATTAAGTGGCTGGGCACAGTGGCTCACACCTGTAATCCCAGCACTTTGAGAGGCCCAGACAGGCAGATCACAAGGTCGGGTTTGAGACTAGCCTGACCAACATGGTGAAACCTGTCTCTACTAAAAATACAAAAATTAGCCAGGCATGGCGATACATGCCTGTAATCCCAGTTACTCAGGTGGCTTAGGCAGGAGAATCACTTGAACCTGGGAGGCGGAGGTTGCAGTAAGCTGAGATTGTACCACTGCTGTCCAGCCTGGGTGATAGAGCGAGACTCCGTCTCAAAAGGAAAAAAAAAAAAGTCTGCTAGGTAACTCTTTTTTCTGATAAAATAGCCAGGACACCCAGAAATAACCTAAATGCAGAATGAAAATGTTAAGACAGCTGGGCGCAGTGGCTCATTCCTATAATCCCAGCACTTTGGGAGGCCGAGGCTAGTGAATCACCTGAAGTCAGGAGTTCAAGACCAGCCTGACCAATATGGTGAAACCACGTCTCTCCTAAAAATACAAAAATTAGCCGGATGTGGTGGTGGGTGCCTGTAGTTGCAGCTACTTGGGAGGCTGAAACAGAAGAATTGCTTGAACCTGGGAGGCAGATGTTACAGTGAGCCGAGATGACTCCACTGCACTCCAGCCTGGGCAATAGAGTAAGACTCTGTCTAAAGAAAAAGAACAAGAAAAGAAAAGAAAATGTGAAGATGAAGATTCTACCTGCCTTAGTTTGCCCAGATACCATCTGTGTAAAGTAAGCACTTCCATCCGAGGCCACTCTGTGGTTCCCCTAATGCTAACAGGAACCATCCCCAAAGCCAAATGTCACTTCCCGGATCATGGAGAGTCCTCAGGACAGAATGTCTCTCTTACTTACTACCATTCTGCCTCCTCCCAACCATGACCATCCCAGCACCCTTAATGTGCTCTCTCCCCTGAAGCTACTCCAGATGCTAGAATGGCATTGTGAGTACTGTATCGCTCTTAAAGACTCAATAAAGCAAGAGGAAGAGGATGCATGGCTCCCTGAGGTTCCCTTACTCTCAGCAGATCAGTACTGTAGAAAAATCATATTCCTGTTCTGGATGCCTCTTCCCAGCCCCTCAACATTCCCCTCCTTTCTCTATACCAGCATTTGGCTCACCCAGGACACCCCACGTAGGGTGCAGCCAATATAGCCATAAAAGAAAAACTTCATTAAGGAGCTCAACTCATAATAACAAAAACTCAAAATAGTTTTTTTTTTTCATCAGTAGCTTTCCCCTTCCCCACTGGGTTGTAGCCTTTTAACAACACCCTGAGCAGATTCCCTACATTCCTGTCATTCTCAGTTACAATGGACTGGTCCCATTGGGTATTTAAAAGCCAGGGTTACTGACATTAAAAGTTCATTGGCAAACATTATTCAAAACACGTTGCACTCATTAACCCTGTGACTTGTGGAAATGAGGTCTACTTTTCATATACCTCCCTTTTCTTTCTCTCTTCAAATCCTTTCCCTCTCTTCAGTTGTCTCTAGAATCCCAGTAATTCTCAACCTTGACTGCACGCACTGGATCGCCTAGGAGTTTTAAAACGACTCATATCAGAGTCCACTCCCAGAGATTCTGATTAAATTGTCCTGGAGGGAGTCCTTGACCTCAGGACTTTTTAAAGCTCCTGGGGTGATTCTAATATGAAGCCAAGTCTGAGAGACATGAGTGCGGACCCCCACAGATACTCATGGTAGAGGCAGAACAGGGAGGAATGGCAATGATGCCTAACTGGCTGTGGGTAGTGAGGACGGAACTTAGGCTGATTCCCTCTGGTCCATTCTGATGCTGCTGGCTCTTCTGGTCTGAGGGTTACATGTAGGTATATGGGTTTCTTCTGAAGGGTGAGGGTAGGGGGTCAGCTGTGTCAGAGCCCAGTTCCCCCACTGCTGATCCCCTCTCACTGTGAGATTGGCATCCAACTATTTGACTCTTGCTCTCACCACCATCCTCTTCCACATGAACCAATTCTTTTCGGCATGCTTTAAGGGCCACCGAGAATTGGGATGGCATGAGGTGTCCCCAACTTCTTTGCAGGCACATAATAATAACAAATAGCATCACTTATTCGGCATCTACTCTATGCCAAGAATTATGTTGGGTGCTTCACATTGGTTGTTTTCTTATTTAATTATCACACAAGCCTGCCAAGGGGTAACAATCCATATTTTATAAATGAGGAAACTAAGAATCAGATAAGTGGCCAGGCGCGGTGGCGCATGCCTGTAATCCCAGCACTTTGAGAGGCTGACGTGAATGGATCACTTGAGGTTAGGAGTTTGAGACGAGCCTGACCAAGATGGTGAAACCCTGTCTCTACTAAATACAAAAAGTTAGCTGGGTGTGGTGGCACATGCCTGTAATCCCAGCTACTTGGGAGGCTGAGGCAGGAGAATTGCTTGAATCTGGGAGGTAGAGGTTGCAGTGAGCCAAGATCACGCCATTACACTCCAGCCTGGGCAACAAGAGTGAAACTCCGTCCCAAACAACAAAAACAACATCAACAACAGCAAAGAATCAAATAACTTTTGTTGCTTACCCAGCATTACACAGTAAGAAAGTAACAGAGCCAGGTTAGAAATTCAGATCTGACCTCAAAAGGATAGCCTCTTAATTATTCTATTTTACCTAAAGTCACTTTCTTTTATGATGGTACCTGTTAAACACATTACCTCCCTAAGATAATGCAGCTGCCATCTACTAAGGAGTTTTAGTGCCATGATCAACTGACTGATGATGGAGATTTCCAGCTGAGACAGACAGGCAGATGGAGAAAAATTACCCCTAGACCTCCCGCCTACATTAGCATAGGCAGTGCTTATGTTCAAAAACGTATTTTGGATCTGCTACCTACTAGAAAAATCCAGATCTGTGCAGATCACGGTTCCACCCTCTCATCAGCAGCATTTCTCAACTTTCTGACCCCAGGACTCACTAATCATTTACAGCTTGTTGATGGTTATTTGAACTCAGGGTCAAGGTGAACATCCCCAGTTACACAAGGAAAATGTATAAAGGTTTTGTTTAATTAATTGCGTGTGTCTCAGAAAGTCTGTATAAAATTCTCCGTGGTGGAAGATCATAGCGAGGGATGGTTTAACAAAATGAAGGCATTCATTGCAGCACTGCTTTTGATCACACTGCAGTATTCGTGTGCTGTGAGTCCCACTGACTGCAATGCTGTTGAGCCGGAGGCCGAGAAAGCTCTAGACCTGATCAATAAAAGGCGACGGGATGGCTACCTTTTCCAATTGCTGCGGGTTGCTGATGCCCATTTGGACAGAGTGGTGAGGAATGGCCAATGGCAGAGTTCAGTTGGGAGACTATGCACCAGGGGCGAATGTGACTCTACCCCTATGCTTACTGCTTTGCATAATGGATGGCTTTGGTCAGAGTTTTCTGTTTGGCTTCTGTGGCTGCTCTAAATTGTTCTTTTTTCCTTCAAACTAACGTTATTAGTATGCCCTTAACTATGATTTAATTTGTGAGTACATATAAACATTTATGCTGAGCCCAGTTACACCTGAGTACTGCCAGAGAAACATTAGAATAAACTATAGGCCTTGGCCTCCAGGAAATGATAATATGCTGGCACATACAGGCAAACTGTGTAAGTTAGGATAAACTCGAGAGAAGGAAAAGTTTTCTCAACCCTCCTAAGGCTCCTGACTGACCCTGAAATAAAACTGGTAGACAGATTAACAGAAGAAAATATACAAATTTATTTAACCCAATGTTTACCGGACACAGAAGTCTTCATAAATGAAGACCCAGATATCCAGGGAAACTGCCCACTTGCATACTTAGAATTGATGAAGAGTGTACAGAATGCAGAAGTAAGATGGGACAAAAGGTGGTGATCTAAAAGCCATAGACTGAAGGAAGGACCCCACAAGGTCTGCCTGTTTGAATTCTCCTTGACCTCTCTGTGTGGCATTTCTTGCCCCCAAGTATGAAGCAGGATCCCTATGGTATGCAGATCTGAGCACCTACTTATCAAACAGAGTAGGTCAGAGAATTTCTTTATGGCTAGCTCCTACAAAGAAAGACCCCGGGGGAAGGTTAGATTCACATTTTAGGATTTATGGATGCTTTTAGGGAGAGGGCTTCCATCTTCTGTGACTTGCCCTGGAGAAGAGAAATTTTAGTTCCTATGGCTTGCCTTGCGGGAGAAAGCAGAGTAGGAGAACAAGGGGCAGGAGAAGGTCAGACAGGTCTTGCCCTTCCCATTTCCTTCAGTTCAAAGGACTCAGCATGACAAAGTACCATACTTTGAGGTATCATGTTTTGAGCCCCAACAATAGCCAACTGATAAAAGAAGTGATAAATGTACCAGAGCAGTTTAATGAGGGGAGATTTAGTGAGACTGGATGGGAGGAGGCTTCCACTGTGTAATAATGCGTGGTAGGATTTGAACAGGTCTGTGAAAGGTGTTCCTGGTGAATTCCTGGCACCACCACTTCTAGGAGGGTAGGGAATCAGGAGGAAAAGTGTTAGGGAGCCACTGAATATAAGCAGGGGGGTTCCAGAAGTTCCATGTGGGTTCTGGAGCAGCCATCAGGTGGGAGCAGCCTGTGGGCTCGTCTTGAGGTGAAGCAAGCTTACTGTCTTCACTTAGATTACATGCCTGTCTAAATTGGACTCTAGGAGCTCATAGACATTACAGAGAGACAAGAAGCCTCCCTCTAAGCCCCTCAAATAACCTACTCTTCCTCTGATGGAAAAACTGAAGTTAGCGAGGCCAGACAAGGAGTACTGCAGAGGACAATTTACCCTTCTGAAAGTATCACAGAGGGAGGCACAGCAGGTTGCAGAGAACAGGTGTGCAGGAATTTAGGATTCAACTAGTAATTCAGTGACCATTAGTCCCATGCCAGGCTCGTTGCCACATGTTAGGGCACAGGATGCCTCCGCACAGAGCTACCACTGAGAGCTAGCATAGAGAGTGAGTGGGTGGAGAGAGGACCTGGTCTGCCTGGGGAAACTGAGGCAAAAGATGGGGACATGAACTAGAAAGCTATTTACGTATTCAGGAATGAAAGAACGAGGATGAGATCTGGGTAGTGGGAGGCAGGGCAACAAGACTGAGGAACAGACATGAGACACATTTCCAAGAAAGGCTATTCAGAGCCTAGTGACTAGATAGCAAAAGCAAGGACAAGAGAGACATCTAGTAGGTTTACATGTTTTACCGCAGAGGCTAAGGCAATATGTAATTAGTGGTGCCACTGGCAAAGACGAGGGAAGTGGAGAGGCAGCTGGTTTGCAAGGGAAGAGAGAGGATTTAGCTTTGGGCACAGTGACGCCAAGGCAGAAAATCCATGTTCAGGAATAGACCTGGGCGAGAGGACACAACTACAAGGACAGATTGGAGGCCCTGATGAGGCCGTCACTGCCTAAACTTCTAGGTGTGTGTAGGTGATGACACTTCCACTAACCACTGCCATTTAGTCATAGCTTCTTAAAGTTTATGGGCAGAAGACACATCAGGCCCACTCAAAAAGAAAATCTGGAAGTAACTACTGAAGCTATTTATTGGCATCAATAGATGAAATGACACAAAGGTAGGGCATCTGCAAAGAAAGGGAGAGGATCATCTAAATTAATTTACCATAGACTGGCCCTGTTCATACAGGAATTCCTATTTGGAGAAAGTCGATTTGAGAATCGATTACATGCCCTTGGAAAATAGGGGTGTCTATAAAAACCCACCCTGGCTTAGACTATTTAAAGGATAAAAGGAAAAAGAATCTCAACCATTTTAAGATAATTCATGGTTTGTAAAGTTTTCAATGCTAAGTTATTTAAAGAACATTTATTTAAAATATATCCAGGAAGAATAAAGTCTGCTAACATGTTCAAAAAACTTTACCAAAAAAAAAAAAAAAAAAAAAAAGAAAGAAAGAAAGAAAGAAAGAAATATATGGGCTTAATTTAAAAAAAAAAAAAAAACAACCCACTAGGCTTCCACGTGCTACTCACATGTTGCTTTTGGCATTCCTCAGGAAACTGCAACTATATATTACTTAGCCTTAGATGTGCAAGAATCTAACTGCTGGGTCCTATCCAGGAAACACGGGAATGACTGTGAGCCAGCTGGTTCCAGACGTCCATCTGATACAGTAAGGAAACAGGGTACCTTTGCTTTGCTCTTACCATTCTTATTTTCCATCTACTCTGTTCATTCAGGGAAGCCAATTCCTGGGCTAACACAGCAGAAGAGAAAGGGCAGCTTTTGTCTTGAGATTCATGAAGATGATGTTGACCTTGAGCAATACTCTTGAGCAGGCGTCCCCAAACTTTTTACACAGGGGGCCAGTTCACTGTCCCTCAGACCGTTGGAGGGCCACCACATACTGTGCTCCTCTCACTGACCACCAATGAAAGAGGTTCCCCTTCCTGAAGTGCAGTGGGGGGCTGGATAAATGGCCTCGGGGGGCAGCATGCGGCCCGCAGGCCATAGTTTGGGGACGCCTGCTCTTGAGAGTCTTTCTGGGAACCCAGTTCAAGACAACTCAGCAGGGCTGTGGTCCCATGAAAGAGCATGACCAGTTGTGAGTCCTTGGGCATTCATCTCATAACATCCCTCCACTTCGGTGTTTTTTTGACTGCAAAGTAAGAAGTGGGTTTAGGAATTCACAGACTCTCAGGGCTTTCCACTCTTGGCAGTCTATAGGTATGAGAATCTGTGAAGTTGTGATTGTGTCCTATGAACAATGGTCCTGTTTTCAGGAATGGCCAAAGGGATAACTCGCAGTGAGGAGTTGGGTCTTGTTCAGCATCTAGGACATATGCTGAGGAATAAGATCTGGCTTTGCATGTGGGAGGTGGGTACTCAAATGCCAGGCTCTCTGACACAGGGGGAGAACATGAAGATGAATGAGCACAGATTCAAGATCTCATTTCCAGAAAATGGCAGGTTCACACTCCTGGGAGTTTCGCCACTTTTTCCCTTGAAAATGTTTGGGGTATGGTCATGATACTTTAAATAGTTTCTCGCTGGTTCTCATGAGGATGTTGAGTGCCAACAGGATGCAGCACACAGACACTGACTATGAAAATGCAGGTTTTGAGACAAGCTCTGATGAAGGAAATGCGTTTTAAGTGAACAGTAGGAGGATGCTGCATCACCTTTTTGCTCTTTCATATCCAACCTGAGGAAGGCAGGATGCAGTGACTCAGCAAACTCTCAAGAGTCTCTTTCTTACAGGTGATCGGACAATGTAAGGTAATAGCTATAAGACATTCCCATGAATCCCAGGATCTGAGAGTGATTGACTTTAACTGCACCACAGGTTCTGGTAAGGTAATCTGCTAAATTGCTAATTAATTCTTGATTAATACAAATTCAATCATACAGTGGTATTTGTCTCATCTATGTACATATATATTCATATATATTAATATGTATTCATATGTATTCAGGTACATATATGATGTACACGAAAGAAAAGCCCTCATAGACTCCATTATTATTCATTCTCCAGAGAATAGAAGAGAGACAAGTTTCCCCTGGTCCTGGTACACCTTCCTTTAAAGAAATTCAATACATAAAAATAGAGATTTATGAGAGGTAGGTTAACATCATTGTACATGCAGGCTCTGGAGTGTCAGACTTGCTTTAGCTTGAGTCATCATCTGCCAGCTGTATAATCTTGGGAGGAAGTAAAGACTTGGGACTATGAAGTCAAGATTATGATACTTTCTATTTAAGACAAAATAATTGAGGCTCAAGGAGGTTAAAGACTTGGCCTTGAGAACAAAGCCAAGATATTGTGAATACATGCCACTATCCAAAGAGCATTAACTCTAAATTCCATACCCTTTTAATTGACATTTTCAAAAAGAATTATCACAGAATTCCTTTTAAAAATAGCAAATCCAAATATGATGTTATATACAAAAAAGCAAGCTACTTCCATAGGAGGTTGCATTGAAGAAAGGATGAGCTGTATCTTCTCCTCTCTCTGGGCAAAACTCTATGTTAATGTTCCCTCTTCCTCCTTGGCAACAACAGGAAGAACTTATTCAAATATTAGTGGCCTGGCGCAGTGGCGCACACCTATATTCCCAGCACTTTGGGAGACTGAGGCCTGAGGGTTGCTTGAGCCTAGGAGTTTGAGACTGCCTGGGCAATGTGGCACAACCCCATCTCTATTATTTAAAATACATGTATATATGTTAGCACTTTATCAATGGTACTGGTGAAGGCATCATGAGTAGGGGTCACAACACAGACATGAGGATCAGAAAGACTGGAAGGAAGAATCAGCAGTTTAATTCCGTTGCTGAATGGCGGATTGATCTTAAAGCAGTTACTTAGCTCTTCCAAGCCTCAATTTGTCCATCTGTAAAATGAAAGTTATTGTCATTCTTGCCACCATTAACATTTACAGCCCTTAACTGTGACACTGCCATCTTCTTTCTCCAGTCTCTTCAGCACTGGCCAATACCAAAGACAGTCCCGACCTCTTACATTTCTTTGAGGATACCGAGCCCTACAGAAAACAAGCCGACAAAGCCCTGGAGAAGTACAAAGAGGAGAATGATGACTTCGCCTCTTTCAGAGTGGACCAAATCGAGAGAGTTGCAAGAGTGGTGGTGAGTCTCCACTAAGGTTCATCTGGAGTCTGAGGGCCCAGACTCCAACCCGGCAGCAGGAACTGAACAACACACCCTCTCCACCTGCCTCAATTGACCGGCTGCCTTTTAATCGGACACCTTTGGGACCATAAAACACAGGGAGCGGGTATAAAAAAAAATACCAAAAATTGCCTTCCTGAAACACTTTTATTTTTTGAAGGATGGGTAAGGCAGTGGACATCTGACAGAAAGGAGGGAAAATCTAAAGAAGAAACAGGGAAAGACAAGAGCTCAAGAGGATTGTGTCATTACAAATCATCCAATACTAACCTTCTTGTACTACGATGGAAAACTGAGGTTCAGAGAAATGGCCTCACCACACCAAGTAATGTGCCTAAAATTAGATGGTTCCCTGCTCTCTCCACAAGGACCCAAGTGCTCTCGCCCAGAGCTGTCTTGTAGAACAATGGGTTGACATTTGCCATGCATTCAGAAAATGCAAAGTTAAATAGATTGTGTTGCATACAAGTAAGGAAATGTGTACCATGCAGGTGCTCAAAGAATGTTTGCAACCCATGTGCACTGGAAAGAGTTTCAAGACACACTGGTAAGAAAAAGGCAGGTTATAGAACAGTACTTAGACTATGAGGCCATTTATATGAAATATTCAGATCTACCTCTGTATGTGTAACATATCCAGGAAAACACTCAAAGAGGAAACACATCAATTGAATGAGAATGAAAACTCTGAGAAGTTGGAGTGCAGAAGGGGTGATTTGAAACTTTTCAGTGAAATGGTGTACACTTTATTACTTAAGTGATACAGAAACCATTTAAAAAATGAAATGTGTTGGTGATTTTGAATTCTCATACTGCCTTACAAAATATTGAATGGTAGGTATCTACTACTTTTTTTTTTTTTTCCTTTTTCTTTGTCTGGTCTTGAAACTATTTTGATCCCATCTGTTCTAGAGAGGAGGGGAAGGAACCAGTTACTACGTGGACTTCTCTGTGAGGAACTGTTCCAGGAACCGTTTCCCCAGACACCCTAATGTGAGTATAAGAAATGTCTGTGATCGTTGACTAGTGTCACAGAGAAAAAAGAAAGAGAAGAAGCAGAAGAAGAAGGAGAAGGACGAGGAAGAAATGTCTATGAAATACGAAGTATTATCTGGGAAGCACAGTACCTGCTGGGCACTCTTCTAAGTGCTTTACACATAGGATAACCTGTTTTGTTTTGTTTTGCTTTTGAGAGGGAGTTTCACTCTTGTTGTCTAGGCTGGAGTGCAATGGCACGATCTTGGTTCACTGCAACCTCCACCTGTCGGGTTCAAGTGATTCTCCTGCCTCAGCCTCCCAAGTAATTGGGATTACAGCCATGCGCCACCCTGCCCAGCTAATTTTTGTATTATTAGTAGAGACGGGGTTTCAACATGCTAATCCTGACCTCGGGTGATTTGCCCACCTTTGCCTCTCAAAGTGCTGGGATTATAGATGTGAGCCACTGCACCCAGCCTATGAAAACTTATTAAGCCTCACACTACCATATGAGATATGGTATTTTTATCCCAAATTAGCAGATAGGGAAACTGAAGCACAGAACACATAAGTGAATCATAAGAATATGATTTTAAAATATACATGATATATACCTAAACTTAAAACTGAGTTTCTTAACCCGTTAGGATTAAAGGCTTAGTTAAAACTATAGCAACTTGTACTAAGACCCTACACCTAGTGGTTTTATTAATTCTACATCATTGACACTCACAGGAATCCCACCTGACAAATTGAGAAGGTAACTGAAGCTCAGCAAAGGAAAGGTCTTGCCAATGTTCACAACCAAACTGAGATTAAAACTTAGTTATTCTCATACAAAGTCCAGCGGGATTTTTTCCTCTAATCATTTACAAATAGATCCCATGTACCTGCAGGAAGACATTATTAATACTACCTGGTACTTGCATGGTGACCTACAGTTAAAGAAACACCTCCACATCTATTATTGCCACGTCAGAGCCTCATGAAAACCCTGCTGACAAGGAAAAGCAAGTATCTGCCTCCATTTCCTTGTGACAAGGGGACCTAAAATTAAAACCACTTACCTAAGGGCACTCAGCTAGAGAGTGTTAGGAAATGGAATTTTAACTATGATGTCAAGTCCAGGATTTTTCTGAGGCTTAACAACACATTTTCCCAGGTCAAAAGGGAGAAACCATCCATTAGTACCTTTTCTAGCTGTTCTAATATCCAAACTGAACCAGGTCTAGAGTCCTTCTTAGTGGCTACCAGCACCAGAAAAGACACCTCCCTCACCTATGCCTATGGCCAACAAACCCTTCATGATCTTGGTGTGGATAATGTAAACCCAGAGCTGAAGCATCAGAGCTGAAGAAGAGGCTTGGGGATAAGTGTTTTACAGCATCCTCTCATTTAATTAAGTCCTCCCACAACCTGTGAGTACATAGTATTATACCCATTTTACAGAAATCTTTTGTAACTTTCCCAAACTCACACAACTAGGAAATGGAGAAGTCAAGATGAACACAGGTCTCTCTGATTCCCAAACCATACTCAGAACCTCAATGCTTAACAATTTCTTCGAGCAGACAATCATCCTCCTGTCCTAGTCGATCTTCCACAGCTGGGTTTAGGGGCCTCTAGAGCACAGGAGCACCAGGCAGTTGTAGTCCTTGTACTTAGGGTGGAGCCAGCAGACACTTGCCTTGACAATGTCCATGAAAACCCATGTTTATGCTAATGAGATTCCCTCCTGTCCAACACTTTCCTCCAAGGGACCAGCTGAAGTTGTAAAACTCTCTCTATGACACCGTTCCTCATTCTCCTAGGCATGGGCAACTTAGGTCTCCAGGGCAGAAGGGTTGGCCTAAAGGCAAGGCAGCAATGATGTGGTTTTCCTCACCACCACCCATGAGGAAGCTCAGTGCTGGTGCCCACTCGTGAAAGAAACCACAGCAAGTTGAATGATACACCCTTTACCACCGGCACTTTCCCCTAAATTTGATGAGGAAAGATTGCTCAACAATTGGTGTGGATAGTTGATCATATTACCCTGATTTTTCTCAAGCACTTCTTCCTTTTCTGAATGTCTGGAAGCTAACTCTGGCTGTTCACCTTCACACCACCTGGACACATACACTAACAGGCTCCTCATTCCTTTGTAGGTCTTTGGATTCTGCAGAGCAGATTTGTTCTATGATGCAGAAGCCTTGGACTTGGAAAGCCCAAAAGACCTCGTCGTAAACTGCGAAGTCTTTGACCCTCAGGTGGGTTGTCTAAGCAGACTTGGTCACAGCAGTGCCAGATTCAGTGACATATGTACACAAACAGTGTTGTTGGTTCCTAAAGTTCTGTGCATGGATGTGTGTGTGTGTGTGTGTGTGAGAGAGAGAGAGAGAGAGAGAGAGAGAGAGAGAGAGAGACAGACAGACAGGCAGACAGACAGACAGGAAAGAAAGAAGATACAGAGAGTACCCCACAACTGTGGAAAGGAGTGCAATTGCCAGATTACACAAAGAGTATGAAAGCTTTTCCAATAACTGGAGAGGAGTAACAACCGGCAGAAAAGTAAAATCATGTCCAATTCAACCAACCTTGAATGAATTTGAAAATGCTCCTTGTAGTCAGGACTGCAGTGCTGAGACTTAGTCATTCCTAAACTTACATTATTGGGCACAGAATCTAAGGGGAATAAATTAGCCTCAAATTTATTATGTAAATACATATAAAATAAGATGCGAAACCATATTTTGCATCTGTCTCAGAAATCTTTGTTCTATTTTTTACATGAGTACAAAGATTTGCTTCATGAAATTTTTCATATCAGAAACAAAACTGAAAATAATCCAAACATTTATATCCCAAGTTGAAAAAAAAAGAAAGAAAAAGAAAGAAAAGGCCAGGATTATCACCATGAACATGGCTCTGTAAGCTATTTTTAAAAATTAAACTCTGAACAAGGAGGAGAGAGAAGAGGTCAAGTGTTCGGCTTTTTGAGTAAGAGATGTTGATATCACCAAGCCTTAGTTAAAAATATCAGTTACAATGCTAGTTTTCTAGTGTTGGTCTACAGATGGGTGCCAGGCCACAATATTGTTTCACCACTCTGTGTAGGGAAAATAAGAAAGGTAAGAATAACAAAGTTTTTTAATATAACATTTATCCATCTAAAGGACAATCCTTTATTCTGATATTGTGTTTTTGGATCTTTTTTTTTAATCAAAATTTCATTCCAAGCCGGGTATGGTGGCTCATGCCTGTAATCCCGGCACTTTGGGAGGCTGAGATGGGTGAATCATTTGAGGCCAGGGGTTCAACATGGTAAAATCCCGTCTCTACTAAAAATACAAAAATTAGGTGGGCGTGGTGGCTTTGTCCTGTAGTCCCAGTTACTTGGGAGGCTGAGGCAGGAGAATCGCTTGAACCTGAGAAGTAGAGGTTACAGTGAGCCAAGATTGCGCCACTGCACTCCAGCCTGCGTGACCAAAGCGAGACTCAGTCTCAAAAAAAATCATTTCTTTTGTGAAACAATGATGGTGGCAAATGATAGTTGCCTATATTTTAAATAACAACTGGGCCAGATAACAATTTGAGATCCTTTTTTGTAATACTTTTAAAACTGATTTGTGGAATCTATGATCTGGGAGCCATTGGTATAAATCGAGTTAAGTGTCTAGCACCTTCTTTTATGTTACATGCTGATAGGCACTCTTCTGTGTTCTTTTCCAGGAACATGGAAACAGCAGTGTACCACCTCATTTGGGATGTCCGTTCCAATGGGGTGGGCATGAGCATTCTCTTCCTACCAAGTCTCCATTTAAGCCCCATGGGTCCAGAGATCAACATCATCCCCACAAGTCACATAAACATGGATGCCCACCCCCTCCAGATGAAAAAGATTACTCAGACAGACCCCCACTTCAACAAGGTGCTCCTCTGGTGCCCATGTCCTGCCCAAGATGTCATCATGCCACTTTTGGCATGAATAGGACCCAAAGACATCCTCATAATCATAATGCCAGTGACCTCCAATCCCATGGACACCGTCCCCATGCACACCATCCTCATGAACACGGTACCCACAGACAGCATCCCCACGGACACCACCCCCACGTACACCATCCTCATGAAAATGGTACCCATAGACAGCATCCCCATGGACATCACCCCCATGGACACCACCCCCATGGACACCATCCTCATGAAAATGGTACCCATAGACAGCATCCCCACGGACATCACCCCCATGGACACCACCCCCATGGACACCATCCTCATGAAAATGGTACCCATAGACAGCATCCCCATGGACATCACCCCCATGGACACCACCCCCATGGACACCATCCCCACTACCATGATTTCCAAGACTATGGACCCTGTGACCCACCACCCCATAGCCAAGGTCACCATCACCATGGCCATGGCCCACCACCTGGGCACTTGAGAAGACGAGGTCCATGTAAAGGATACTGTCCCTTCCATTCCAGACCAACTGGATTTGTGTACCGACTCCCTCCTCTAAGGAAAGGTGAGGTGCTGCCACTTCCTGAAGCCAATTTTCCCAGCTTCCCACTGCCGCCCCACAACCACCCTCCAAAGCCAGACATTCAGCCCTTTCCTCAATCACCCTCTGAATCATGTCCAGGGAAGTTCAAGAGTGAGTTTCCACAAGTTTCCAAGTTTTTTGCACATACAGTTCCAAAATAAAATGTGATTCCTTTGAAGAGGAAAATGAATAATACTTTGAATTGGAATCGTAAAGAAAATGACCAGTAATTATGAAAATTATGGTTATTCCAACTTACTTACATACTGAGGATGCAGCAAAATGGGAATGGGAAAGGAGATGGCCTGAGAAGAGAGATCAAGTGGAAAGGAGAGGAAAGAGCTCAATGCTGCCAATTAGCAGCTAATTCTGTCACTCACCACTACATCGCCTGAGGCAAATCTATGCCACTCAGATCTCCTTCTTTACCAGACTTAACTCTAATTCCAGATATTCTCTTACTGCTTGGGCTACACCTGGGCATATCAATAAAGCATGATACTGAAACTATTATTATTATTTATTTTATTTTATTTGTTTAAGTTCCAGGGAACATGTGCAGGATGTACAGGTTTGCTATATAAGTAAATGTGTGCCATAGTGGTTTGCTGCACCTATCAACCCATCAGCTAAGTATTAAGCCTGCCACGCTTCTTTTTCTGAATGCTCTCCCATTTCCCATTCTCCCCCATTTATAATTATTAAAGTGATTTAAATTCTCTCCTAGTGATTATTTCTAGGTATCTAAATTTTCTTTTGGAAAAAATAAGTTCTAAATTCAATCATGAAGTAAACAAACCTCTGGCTTTAAACAGCAAAGAAGTTTGCTGGCATGAATCATGACCATAAATTTAAGTGTTCAAGAAATGTCACTTTATGCTTAGAACAAATTAATTTGTATTTGAGGATGCTATCCTACTGGCTTAGTGGGAAATTTAACCCCAGTCCTTTTTGGAGTCCCCTTGCCCTGCCCTGCTACTTTCCACATAAAGTTGGGCCACAGTTCTAGAATCTCACATGGTGCCAAGTGGTCCAGGTGGTAGGAAGCAGGGTAGTGACTATCCCTCAGCAGGGGTGACTGTTGGAGCAATGATCATCATCATGAGCAGTAGCCATCATGCTGGGGGATAGTCACGACCCTGTTCACATTACTCTTTGAGTTTGATTTATCTGCTACTTCTGTATGCAGGAATGTCTGTACCAGCAATGGACATGACTGCCAAGGTATGGAATATGGCTACTCTCTCCCTGAGATCTTGCTGTCTTCCTGGCTGCATGCCGAGAAAGCAGGGCAGAGGTCTCCTCTGCCTCAGAAACCCCTTACCCCACTCTTCTTATGTTTTCTCCCCCAGCTAAGGACTCTCTTTCTAGCCTCGGGTAAGTTCACTTTATTTATTTTTAGGGCCAGAAGACTGTTTTTTCACATTGTACTCCCCTTTTTCCTTCTTAAGTCAGGACTCAATCATTTGAAACAAACTAAAAGAATTCAGATTCTCGAGACTCTGTCTCAAAAAAAAAAAAAAAAAAAAGAACTCAGATTCTGTCTATTTTCTAACTACAATAGTGACATCAGAGCAGGAAATCCACATTCAGGAATAGACCTGGGCGAGGACACAACTACAAGGACAGATTGGAGGCCCTGATGAGGCCGTCATCACCTAAACTTCTAGGTGTGTCCCTTCAACACCTCCACCAAACCACCACTGCCACTTAGTGACGGCTTCTTAAAGCTCAAGGGCGGAAGGAACATCATGACCACAGAAAAAGAAGATTTGGCAATAATTAATTGAAGCTATTTATTGGAATCAATAGATGAAATGACACAAAGGTAGGACATCTGCAAAGATGTGGAGAGCAGTGAGAATTCTGTAGAAGATATAAAGATAGACATTATCTTTATTTTAAAAAATAAGAATTGGGAGGCCAGGGTGGGCAGATCATGAGGTCAGGGGATCAAGACCATCCTGACCAATATGGTGAAATCCTGTCTCTTCCAAAAGGCACAAAAATTAGCTGGGTGTGGTGGTATAAGCCTGTAATCCCGGCTACTTGGGAGGCTGAGGCACAAGAATCGCTTGAACCCAGATGGTGGAGGTTACGGTGAGCCACGATCACACCACTGCACTCCAGCCTGGTGACAGAGTGAGACTCGGTCTCAAAACAAAACAAAACAAAGCAAAAAATCCAACACCCAAAGCTGAAATTCTAATTAAACTATATCCAGGAAACACTGGAATGACTGTGAACCAGCTGATTCCAGATGTCCGTCTGATATGCTAAGTAAACAGGGCACCTTCACCCTGTGCTATTCATTGTTACTTTCCATCTACTTTGTACACTCAGAGCAGCCAATGACTGGGCTAACACAGCAGAAGAGAAAGGGCAGCTTTTGCCTTGAGATTCATAAACATGACGTTGACTTTGATAATACTCTTGAGAGTCATTGCTGCTGTGGTCTCATGAAAGAGCATGAGCAGCTGCGCGTCCTTGGGCAAATCACCTAAGAACATCCCTTCACGTCAGTGTTTTTTATTGTAAAACAAGAAGTGGGGTTTGGAGTTCATGCACTCTAAGGCCTTCCGCTCCTGACCATCAATGACTATAAGAAATCTATGAACTTGTAATTGTGTCCTGTGAACACTGATCCTGTTTTCAGGAATGGCCAAAGAGATACATTGTGACATATGAGGGGACATGTGAGGACTCGGGTCTGCTTCTGTGCCTTGCACATACACTGAGGAAGAGGGTTTTGTTGTGCATGTGGGAGGTGGGTACTCAAATGCCAGGCTCTCTGACACAGGTGGAGAATGTGAAGATGAATGAGCAAACATTCAAGACTTCAGTTCCAGAAAATGAGAGGTTCACACTCTCAGGAGTTCTACCACTTTTTCCCTTGAAACTGTTTGGGGTATGGTCATGAAGCTTTAAATAGTTTCTCACTGGTTCTCCTGAGGATTTTTGGTGCCAACAGGATGCAGCACACAGACACGAAGAAAATGCAGGTTTTGAGATAAGCTTTGATGAAGGAAACCTCAAATGCATTTTAAATGGACAGTAGAAAGATGATGCTTCTTTTTGCTCTCTTGTGTCCGACCTAAGGAAGGCAGGACACAACAGCTCAGCAAGGCCTGAAGAGCCTCTTTCTTACAGGTGATCAGACAGTGTAAGGTAATAGCTACGAGACATCTGAATCTCAGGATCTCAGAGTGATTGAATTTAACTTCACCACACATTCTGGTATGGTAATCTGTTAAATTCTTAATTAATTCTTGATTAATATAAATTCAATCATACAGTGGTATTCAACCCCCATAATGCCATGATGTACATGAATAAAAAGGTTCCCTCCCCTCATGGACTCCATTATTCACTCTTCAGAGAAGAGAAGGGAGACAGGTTCCCCTGGTACTGGTACACCTTCCTCTAAAGAAATTCAAGACATAAAAATAGAGATTTATAATAGGTAGGAGAACATTATTACAGAGACATGGGCTTGGGTCACACTTGCTTTAGTTTGAATCTGAACCTCATTACTTAAGGGTCATATAAGATTACACAAGAAGGCAGTGACTTAAATTTTTTAACCTTTTTCACATGTAAAATGAGGTTAGTAACAGCATTAGCTTTCAGGATTCTTGTTAGAATTGAATAAGATGCCCTATGTAGCACACTTCCCAGGTTATTCTTAGCACTTAACCAATGTTTAAATGCCATGAATTACTCTACAATTTACAAAGCAATGATACCTGTTATCTCATTTAATCTCCCAACAAGGCAATAAAATATGATACTGTCAACTTAAGAGATAAATACTTGTGACTGGAAGAGTTTTAATGACTTGTCCTCAGGAACACAGCCAAGGTGTCATGAAGATATGACTCTGTACCAATAGCGTTGACACTAAATTACATGCTCTTTAAAAAATAAAAAATAAAAAATAAAAAAAACTTTTTGAAAAAAGAATTATCACAGAATTTTTCAATGGCAAATTTCACTCGGATTCTGTATACAAAAATTCAATAGGTAAGCTACTGCTGCAGGAGGTTGTTTTAAAGAAAGGTTCTGTATCTTCTCATCTCTCTGGGCAAAACTTTATATTAATGATGCCTCCTCCTCCTTGACAAACACAGAAGGACTTCTTTAATATTAGCACTTGATGAGTGGCAGTGGTGGAGGCATCATGAGTAGGGGTTACAACTGAGACTTGGCATCACAGGAAAGGAAGGAAGGATCAGCAGTTCACCTCTGTTGCTGGTTGCCTGATTCATCTTGAAGAAGTCATTTACATTTCCAACCCTTGATTTGTCCACCTATAAAATGAAAGTTATTGTCCTTCCTTGCATTGAGCCCCCATTGCCATTTTCAAACCTTAACTGTGACAATGCCATCTTCTTTCTCTCGTCATTCAGCATTGGCCAATGCCAAGGATAGTCCCATCCTCTTAGATTTCCTCAAGGTAGACTCAAGGATACCAAGCGCTACAGAAAACAAGCCAACTAAGCCCTTGAGAATGATGACTTTCCCTCTTTCCGAGTGGACCAAGTCTAGTGAGTTGCAAGAGTGTTGAGTCTCCACTAATATCCAGCTGGAGTCTGAGGGCCCAGGATACAACCTCACAGCAGAAACTGAACAGCCTCCCCTCTCCAGCTGCTTCACTGGACCAGCTGCCTGTTAATCTGAGCCCCTTCCCCCGCAGTGTGGCATTTGGAGGAATCAGAGTCAGGCAGCAGATACAGCTCTCCTGGAAGAACTGCTCTCCTGCAAGTTTTTAAAATACTTTGGAGGGTGTGGGAGAAGTGTATATCTGTTAGAGAGGAAGGAAAATCCAAAGAAGAAATAGAGAAAGACAAGAACATATGAGGGTGTGTCATTACAAATCATTCAATATTAACCTCCTTGCACTGTGATAGAAAACTGAGGCTCAGAGAATCTACGAGTGGTGTGGCTGGAACTAGACAGTTCCCTGCTCGCTCTATGAGGACTCAAGTGCTCCCACCCAAAGCTGTTTTCAGAGCAGCTAGCTGATGTTTGTCATGCATTCTGAAAACGTAACATTAAATTGATTGTGGTATATACAAGTAAAGAAATAAAGACTTTGAAGTTGTTCAAAGAATTTTTGAACTCATGTGCATTCAAAAGAGTTTTAAGACATATCGTTACGGGAAAGGTTACAGAACAATATTTAGAAAGGAGTGCAACTGCTAATATTACACCAAAAGTATAAAAACTTTTTGAAGGATAGGGGAGAAATAAGATTTGGAACAAAAGTAAAATCATGTCCAAGTCAGTCAACCTTGAATGAATTTGAAAATACTCCTTGTAGTCAGGACTCTCAGTGCTGAGACTTAGTCATTCCTAGCTTTTATTATTAGGCACAGAATCTAAGGGGAATAAATTAGCCTCAAATTTATTATATAAATGTATATAAAATAAGATGCAAAGCTATATTTTACATCTGTCCCAGAAATCTTAGTTCTATTTTTTACACGAGTACAAAGATTTACTTCATGG